TGACAGACGTTCCCGAATATCACCGAATCAATGGGGACGGTTTTGTTAAGACTTTGTATTGCGGCTTTCGCAGCAAAAGCACCTAATTCCGTGGCTTTTATTTAAGTTTTGGGCTTTCATTAGAAAGATAATCGCAGATTGATAAACCCTTTGTAAACGTTTAAGTTGCTCTCGAGTGTCGTTATCGTAGTACCTGTATATCCTTTTAGAGAACCGCCGAAGGCTCCGAATGCCGTTCCTTCGGTGTTTCAATGTAATGCGTTTAATAATTCAACCAATGATATGAGAATAACAAAACTATTTTCCCACCACCTACTTTTGGCTGCTACTATAAAGACATTTTGAACCATCTTTTAAAAAAATTTGGTTTCTTAATTTTCTACGATTTATTGAGATCGCAATTTCTATATCGGGATTGACAACAATTAAAATTGTCGATTCCTAAATAATTACAGAGATTATCATGAAACTTCTGGTACTTTCTAATTCATGTGATATGTAAATGTATAAAACGGAATTGGGTCTTCATTGATTTACTTCCATAGTCTGCAAATACACAAAAAATGCCAGTTCGTACCTATTTTGACATTAATATTGGTGGCCAACGCGAAGGGCGAATAGTTTTTGAGCTGGTAAGCACTAGCTAATCTCTACTTTGCGATATCAGTCCATGCGAGTTAACGTATTATTGAATTCCACGCGCTAGTTCGACAATGTAGTACCAAAAACTGCCGAAAACTTTCGCGCTCTTTGCACAGGTAAAGGTCAAGTTTTTGATGGATTCATAAAGTTCATACTCCATTATTGATAATGGAATTAATTCGACAGGCGAAAAGGGTGGTATATTGCATTATAAAGGATCTAAATTTCATCGTGTGATAAAGGTCAGAAATTTTAGCGAAATTATTGTTTGTTCATTATCGGTTGTTTAAATATGTAAATAACAACAACAATAATAATAATAGGGATTTATGTGTCAAGGAGGTGATTTCACAAGAGGCGACGGTACTGGTGGTGAAAGTATTTACGGAGAAAAGTTTGCAGGTAACAGATTACTTTCTTGTACTTGTATCATGGTGATATGCGCGCATTAATATAGATTTCATTTCCCGATGGATTTGGAATAGACGAAAATTTTGAACTTAAACACGATCAACCCTTTCTCTTATCGATGGCGAACGCGGGAAAAGATACGAATGGTTCACAATTTTTCATTACTACAAATAAAGTAAGAAATCTAGGAAATAACGTGGTTGAAAATCATATGACCGCAATTTGTAGCAATAATTGACTAATATAAAACATAGACGGACCATTTAGACGGAAAACACGTCGTCTTTGGCAAAGTCATAAAGGGTAAATCAGTAGTGCGTGCCATTGA